ATCAAAGTCTCCTCATTTTGGTTACATTTCTGCTTCCCTTCTGCTTATATATTCATCTCACATAACAGTAACAGTTGAAATAGTTTCTATTGAATGGTTCTTTCTGCTAGACATGTGGTGTATGTGTGGAATCATCTCCAAACCCCTTAAACATAGGCATTATTATCTGCATCCTACAGATAACACGATAGGGGCTTAGAAATGTTAAGAATTGTTCAAATTCTAGCAAATGGCAGAATCTGAATTCAAACTCAGATCCATCTCATTCCAAATCTCACCATCTTTAGATTTAGGAACCAAAGAATTCTAACCAACAAAAAATATGCATTGCAATTTCTTTGTATTGATTAAATATATATTCAAACTTGTGTGTGTACATTCCTTTGCAAAGGTTGTATGATGCTAAAAGAGATAATGCCATAGATAAAAAGCTGTGAATAGATTTCCATTTTAAATACTGAACTCTGATCCTCAGTTTCTTCTTCTACAATAATGATACCTCCATTGCAGGACAACTTGAAAATGATGGCTTCACTTCTCTTGCTTCTGAGCTTACCCAGTTTTGTTTCATCACTAGATTCTATGACACTTGGATATTGGGTCTTATTGAGCTAAAATAGTCATTTGGTTATTCAAAAGTCATGTAGCAGACATAGTTTTGTCTTACATAGTTTAGTGTTTATTACAAAGGCAGCAGAGATCACTTTTAAACTGGGCATGAGATAATCAGATTTGCATTTTAGAAGGATCCCTGTGGGGTACTCACACACACTGGTGGAAGTGTAAATTGATACAATCCTTTCGGAAAGCAATTTGGCAAAGTGTACTAAGAGCTCTAAAATGTTTGACACAGTAATATCACTTTTGTGACTACTCCGAGCAAATAATCCTAAAACCAGAAAAAGCTTTATGCACAAAGCATCCATTGTAGCATTATTCATAATGACAGGAAAATGGCAATGACCTTGCTAGCCAACAATAAGGGAATGGTCATGCAAGGTTCAGCACATCCACTGGGTGGCACATTACTCAGCTATCTAAATTTTAGTCACGACAAGCTACCAATAACATCAGAAATGATGATTTACCGATGTTAATATTAGCAGCACATTTGTAGTAGATTCTGCAAATGGCTACAACTTCTTCTCCTGCCTGTATCCACATCCTTACTAAAAACAGCCATAAATTCCTCTCCTGCTTAGATCTATGCCCTTACAATATGATGCTGTAGATCCTTTGTCAAGAGGTAAAATCTATTTCTCCACCCACTGTGTGTGAATTGGACCCTGTGGCTTGCTTTGACCAATAGAAATATTAGTAAGCTGCAACCAGGAGCTTGAGAAGCAGGTATGCATTGGCACTTGCCTCTTGCTATGGCTGGAAGCCTTCCATCACCATGTGAAGAAGCCCGGGGATGACTGCTGGATGATGAGAGAGATACGAACCCATTCCCTCTGGTGGCCCCATGTGTCAGCCAGCCAATCCCAGGAGCAGAGCCCTCTCGCTAAGTGGCAGCAAAATACAGGTGCATGACTGAGGCCAGCCAAGACTAGCAAAAGAATCACACAGCTGAGCCCAGCCCAAATCACGTCTCCAGAGAAGTATGAATGAAATCAGTAGTGTCATTTTGAGCTACTGAATTTTGAGGCCATCTGTTACGTATCAAATGTTCACTGATATAGTCTGATCATTTTTGTAGCTAGATTTTGGGTACATGAATGGGATGGGTAGACAGGTTTATGATAATATTGCCTCTGATTTGTGTATGTCTCATACTTGGCATAATAAAAGAAATTTTAAACATATATGTATTGGGGCTAAAAGAAAAATAAATGTCAAGTAAAACATTTAAATGTAAAAATATATATGCATACAGTTTGATCGCAACTACACAAAATTTTCCATGGAAAAATACTAGGAAAAAAAATACACCATTGGTTACCCCTAGGGGCTAAGACTATGGATTTTTTTTGACTTGTATGTATTTTCCAAAGTATCTATAATAACCCTGATTTACTCTATTCTGAAGATAAATATTTCTAATTCTATTCATTTTACTTCACTTTCATCCCCCAATAAAAATTTTTTCCATGGAATACATGGAGAACTGATTGGAGGGGTGAGAAACTAAAGGCAGAGAAACAAAGGTAGAGAAAATTAAAATAGTCTAGGGGGAAATTTTAAATAGTTTAGGGGGAAATCGATAAGGGTCCAAAACTGAGGCACCAACAATAGAAAAGGAAACAGGGGACAGAAGGGGGGCAGGGTGGGAAGAGGGTAGACACTGAAAGGGATATTGAATGTTCCTGGTGTTGGACATGGCCTTGCACTGGAAGGAATTTAACCTGGAATCATGGTTGGGCTTCAGGGGGACCCACAAACCCAACCTAAAAACACACCCAAATTTGGGTTTAAGTGTGTAAATGCTTCAAGTAGATTTCAAGTAGATTTCATCGGATTCTCAAACAGTGAAAGTCATCCCAAAAGTTGAATATCCATTAAACCTTGTCTCCCTGTAGACAGGAAAGAATTTATAGTTTTGTCTTTCAACCCAATTCAAATCTGACCAGCCATAAGACAACCTGAATAGGACGTTGAAATGATCAGACCACAGTCTGGGACTTTGGTCCCCAGAGTGTGACCTAAGTGCATGATGGCCCAGGTAATGTCCACCCTTCTGAGCCACAGCTCGTCGTATGCCCTTTCTTAGTGTCCCTTAGAAGCTGGCCCTGCTGGGTTCCAGGCTGAAGAAAGCCACACCCTTCTGGACATCACTTCAGGGTGTCAGAGCCATGGGTCTACCTGGGAACTCTGACTTCCAGGAGGCATCTACAAACCCAGTCTTTCCAAATCTTAGACTCAGACAGAGCCCAGCACAGCCTGGTCCCTGCCCCACCTCCAACCTCCCCTCTCTTCCTTTCTCTTGTTCTGCTTCACACTGGCCTATTCTAAGTTTCCAGAAATCTGTGCTGCTTCTCACCAGAGGAGCTTCACATATGCCATTCCCCTGATTCGTTTCCACTCTCCTTCAACTAGTGACCTTATCCTTTAGGTGTTAACCTTAGTCACTACTTCCCAGGCCAGGGAAATCCACCCCCCCCATCCATGCTCTCAGAGCACTTAGCACATCTGAAATGTTCTATTTCTTTTTGGATAACAATTATAATAAAAGCCAACATCATTTGAATGTTCACTGCATGCCAGGCACTATAAGAACCCCTTGACATGTATTCATTTGTTTTACTAGTCCAACAATCCCACAAGGAAAATGAGGCCCAGAAGAGAAACAACTGGACTCCGACTCTCCAGCAAGTAAGAGGCAGTCTTGGGATATAATCCCAGGTGGCTCGCGTCTGGAACTGCCCTGATCTGAAGCTCTGTTTCCACTGATTGTGTCCCCAGCCCCAGCACAAGGCTAGAGCTTAATAGGGATTCCAGTAGCATTGACAAAATTGATTTGTCTTGCCAGGCCTTTAGCTGCTTTGACACATGAAATCCAGGCTCGGGGACAACCTTACAAATCACCTTCACTAACCCCAATGGAAGAGGAATGGGAGACTCAGAGAGGGAAGGTGGTTTTCTTAAGGTCACATAGAACCAGGACAAGCAACCAGATCTCCCAACAGCCCAGTACTCTTCCCACTTCATTAAATGACAACTCAAAATTTAAAATAGTAAGTATAAAATACTTAATATCTATCTTTAAACCAATGAAGCGGTATTACACTCTCTTCCCCTCTCCCAACATTGCTGTGGAATCAGATGGAAAGAAAGATGGGTGGGTAAGGAAAGAAAACTATTTCTTCAGAAATGTGTATTTGAAGAAAAGCACAAGGATTATAGAAAATCGTGATTCATGTAAATTGCTCCTTAAAAAATGATTTTCTTTTCTTTTTTCAATTTACTAGTGTTGAGCATTTTTTAACTCAAAATAACCTTGATTTAGCAAGCCTGTGCCTTAAACTTACAATTATTTCAATGTGGTCGTCTGTCATCAGTTCTTTTGTTAGCGCAAGGGCAACCTAGCTTGACTGATCTGGATTTATGCAGAGCCACGCCATCATGGGGGTCCTGTGGGCCTGCAAAGATGCAGCCTGGCCATCAGAAAGACGCTCATGATGGCTGGTGAGGCACGCTGAATAACTCTTCAGTTTGAATAGGGGAGGTCTGCGCAATGGTGAAAAGGATAGTGGGCTTTCAATTGTTTCTAGAGCCTCCTGTCTATCCTTACAAAGACTTGATTTGCAAGGCAAGTACAGTTGTTTTTAATTCCTCAAATAATTGGGTTGCCACCTGAATGATATCAAGCCACTCACCCAGCCATCCAAGTAAATTATCCTCAGGTGGCTTCTTTGTATCAAGGAAAAGACCGTCAACTAGGATGTAAATCAAGATTCCTATATTCTGGATTTAGAGCTGTGTTTCTTTGGAACGTTTTAGTAAATCTTTCCACCATAGCTTCAGAATGTTTTTCTTTCCCTCTGGGTACATAGTTTCATTTTAGCTTAGGGGAGGCCTAAGAAAAATAATTTTTTTTTCTTATCAGGCTCTGAATATCAGCTTCCAATTTGGCAAACTTCTCACCACAGAGATAATTACTTAAAAGATCCTTTCAAGTATTTTACCAGGTTTCAGTCTGAACAAACAGTAAATATTCCTGGCAGTCCTGAATAAGCCCATGGACATAAGAAGGGGCCCCAAAGGGTGTTCAAAAGATCTTACCCTCCCAAATCCAGAGAACACTCTCCAAGATAACCAAAAGAAAGAAACATTTCCCCTAAGAGCTGGCTACAGTCCACAGGACCCCAGTTGCAAATCAGGTGCACCCCACCTTTCTGTATTTTGGGGGCCCCCAACCTGATGGTTGTAAACCAAGTTCTCAGGACACAACATGAGGCAAACAAGAGGCTGTAGCTGTCTCTGGGAAAGAAAGGATCAATACCCAGTGTTTTTTCCTGACAAGTACAATTTAGAAAGGAAGGGACAATGTGAAATCTTACCTTCCTCTCTCGACCAGGCACCACAGACAGAGAGGTCCAGAAGAGCTGGCTTGTGTAGGAATTCTCACTTATTGCTGGTTTCTGCCAGTTTTCCTGGCATGCCGTCTAAAGGCTCCAGCGTGAGTGGAGTACCCCAGCGGGTCTTATCCTGGTCACCAGAAACTGCAGAGAAGGAAAAATAATTTTCCCTCTACCCTCTATAGTGAGTGCCTGGCTGACACCCGTTTGTCCCTAGGGCACCTCCTACATGCATAAACTTATTTAGGTTAAAAGTTCTCCACTGCAGCCACTATAGTTCAAGATTATCTTTGGTCAAGTTAACCTACTTGTTCAGCCTGAAAACAAAATTTTATTCACCTGAGGCATCACACTGGCCCCAGTCCAGCTCACGTCAGACCCACTCCCACCCTAGACCTGGACCAGTTTCTAAGTAGGACCCAGTCCAACTCCAACCAAGGTTCCAGACCCAGTCCGGAAAAAGAAATGCTCAAGTGAAGTCTGAAAGCTGCAGAGCTATAAGGGAACTCACCCAGCACCTCCAAAGGTCGAGAGAAGGCAGCCGGCTCGCGGGGCTCCAACAGGTACCTACGCCTGGTTGTTCACTGCTCCTGGAGGCCCATCCGGCTCTCCTGTGGGTCCCTCTTCTGACACCAGAACTGTTAAAAGACGAGCTAGGGCATATTAAAAACGTGTAGCGTTTATTTGAGTATAAATCGATTCTAATCAGGCAGCACCAAACCCCACGCATATGTGCTGGCGAGCGGCTTTTATAGCAAAGACGCGGAAGCCAAGTAAGGAAACTACTGACTGGCTGCAGCTGAGAGCCTGAGGCAGGAAGCCCCATAGTAAGACCAGCAGGACCCCCAGGCAGGGCCGCTGCTCTCCTGCCAGCACCTTTCGGTTCCCTGGCCCACAGGCTCTATCTCACTCTTTGCCTCTAAAGCGGCTAACTCTCACCTAAAATTCTATTGGTTCCCTGAGCTCATTTCTGATTGGTTATTTCCTTCACTCCTGATTGGTTATTTCTCTCATTCCTGATTGGTCCATTCTCCTCTTTCCTGATTGGCCTATTTCTACAAAGCTTGTTCCTGGTTGGTCAACTTCTGCTACTTTATTTGCATATGACGTTGCAAAGTGTAAAACTGGCAGCCTATAAAAGTACTATGTAAAGCTACACACAGGGTCCAGAGCTTGAAGTATTAACTCCTCTGGGCCCGCTGGTGTAATAAACCTGAGTTCTCCAACTTTGCATGCGCTGCTTGGTCTCTTGCAGGGATCCAGGTTGCTGTCACAACTGAGCTGTAACACATTTTCCTGCAACAAGCCTAGGTAGCCTCTGTGACTGGTGGTCCTTCATGTTTTGAGTTCATAATCTTGAGGCATTTACAGGCTGAGATTTTGGTTTGCTGATGTAGGTGCCATGTCATTGGAGTCACTTCCATCTTTATGGCACCCTTGTTTAATTAATTTAATACTGTTAAGAAGACCTACTGATCTCCACTTTACAGATGAGGATGCTAAAGCCCAAAGAGGTGAGGGATTTGCCTACAGTCACACAGCAAGCTGCGGATGGCCTGATTCCGCGTCAGACCTCATTCCATGAGAAATACAAGCTGGAGTGTCATCATCAGCACCTTTCATAAGCTGGGAGGCTCATGCCGAGGGTCACAGGGACACGTCAGTCAGCTGTGGAAAATCCAGGTCAGAGGCTGAGTTAGACCCAAGAGCGGCTGCCTCCCCTGGGCCTTGGAGGACCACTGTGGACACATGCAAGGATGCTTCGTCCTTTACTCTGACATTACCTTTCCCACCAGCAATGATGTCGAAGCTCAACCCTGGCTTATTTTAATGCTCTGGATTTTTGAAGTGCCTTCTCCCTGAAAAGGGCCGTGGAAAAAGTTCACCATGTGCTCTTTGGAAAGCCTCCCTGCGCACCCAGAATAGATAGATGCCTTCATGGTTCGCTATTGCGGACAAAGCCCACAGGTTCCTTCAAAACATTCGATAGATAAATGACTCGTGTTTTGGGAAGAGTACGGGTAAGCAGGAATGGGGCTAGACGAACATGGTCTAGAGGAACATGGTCTCAATTTGGCAATTGAGACAAAGGGCAGTGTTTGGCGTGAAACAGGAAAAAGGGAAAACTAGGAGGCAGGTTGAGAGACTGGAAGGCTGCTTCAAATGTTTGAAGGGCTATCGTGTAAAAGACTGGCAAGGTGTATTCCAAGTGTCTCCTCGGAACTGAGAATACAAATCAGGGCCACCGATGCTGGGACAGCCTGGGCAAGGGTGGTGCAGGGGTTAAGAACACACTTTTAAATCCTTTCTCTGCAATATACGAAGCCTCAGTTTCCCCATCTGCAAAGTGGTGGTGCAATTAGTACTCATAAGGTTGTTGTAAGCATTAAATAAGATCATGAATCTTAAGAGCTTATCACAGGCCTGACACATAGGAAGTCTGTCATCTGTTGTCCTTGCTGTTTGGAGGAAGTGAGTTCTTTGTCCTTAGAGGTATTCAAGCAGCAACTGATGATCAGTGAGCTGCAAAGCTGTGCTGGGAAAGAGATTCATGCACTGGACAAAGGGTGAGATTAGATGACCTTAAGTTTCCTTCCATTCTTGGCTTTCAACTTCTTTGTTTCATTGAAACTGAGGTTAATTTGAAGTCCTCTATTGGACTACCCTTCGGATTTTGTTTTTCCACCTTTGTCCTTGCAAATCCTTGCCATGGAGCAAAATCTGGAGAGTGAGTCTCGAAGTGTACAACCCAGGAAGTTTCTTTTGCTTGGTGGCTGCATTCCTGGAATTCCCAAGATTCCAATCCCTTTTCCTCCTCACATTGTAAACATTAGGTTCTTGTGGGGAGGACAAAAAGGTCACTTTCCAAACCGCATTTGTTCCCAGGCTCTGATCTGAATAATTCAACTCATCCTCCGTGAGAGCTCCAGTTGGGCTGATCCCAAGCCCCCTTGACAAGAACGGTGCGGATCTTCGCTCACAAGAGGCCATTGTTTGCGGAGGAGGACGGCGTCCTCACTTCTCGGTGAGCAGAACCAGGTATGAGAACGGAAAACAAATCCAAGGGACTCACTGCAGCTGAACCAGTGGCAACCTTCCTCAAACTCCCTTCTGGGCGAGCCCAAGCCCTCGAGGAGGAGGGGCATTTATTGGGGATTGCTACAAATTCAGCTTTACTGCCACTGCCTTTATAACCACAATATAAAGTAACTCCCACAACACACTGAAGATAAGCTCTTTAAAGAAAATATAAAAGCATTAGCTTGGCAATTCACCCAAACCTCATCATGCACCATAGACATTTTTGAAGTTTAACAAAGAAAAGCACACCATTAAAGAATACTGCTCTATCACCATTCTTATGCAAATCCTTCCAGATAGTGGGGTGGAAAATTCCATCTAACACGCAGCAAGAAATAAATGTTGCAGGGTGGAAATTTCAGCTATACTGAGTGCATCTATCACTTGTATAATCCAAACTACTGTATGTGCGCTGACTACAGAATTAGTATTGATCCATTCACCATGTAAACATCAAGTACTTTCTATTATTACTTGAAATAGCATGCTATCACAATTTCTATTTCCTCCTTCTATCTTAAATAGAAGTATTGCACATTAGCCCTTTCCTTCATGTACTTTTTTGCACAGCTATCTAACTACAGTGTTCGGTGTGGTGCTCAGTTTCCTGCAGACATCTGCAGTATTAGCATTAAAGCACTTTATTTTCAAGTCATCTCTGATGGAAGACAATACAACTTTCACTTACCCAGAAACCTGTTACCAGAGCTTCTCTCAGAAACAGGGACAGTCTCTCTCTCTCTCTCTGTCTCACACACACACCATCATCATTATCATCATCACCATCCTCGTCATCATCTCCTTTATCTGATACTCATCCCCATGCTGAGATCACATCATCAGGATGTATCTCCAGCCCCCAACCCCCCAAGAGAACAGGACCCTGCTACATCTCTCTGAGGTCATGAAAAATAGACTTGCCAAGGCTGAGAATGGTATTTAATTTCAGAATAACTTGCTATGGAAGTGCAAGATTCGACTCTGGGTTGCAGTGTTCAGATGTCTGGATGTATGAAGAAAAATAACTTTGGAGAATCAGTTCGGATGTCTGAAAACACATAAAAGCATCACAAGGTGGGGAGCCTTGTCTTCCCTTTCCTGCATTCCACAGCAAAACAGCACGAGGAAATTTGGACTGGGTTCCAGACCCTGGAGGGTCAATTTTAGCTCAAATAGCTCGGAGCTACATAGGGCATAATTCATGTTCTCTGGTGCCTGTGGCGCTCCCTGGGCGCCGTGCACATCCTGACCCGGCGCACAGTGCTTCTCGTTACCCCTGCGCGCACTGAACGAGACGCACTGTGTGTGACTTAACTAGATTTCCAGGGTCTTCGAAGCCCAGCAGCCGCTCACGTCAGAACAGATACCATCTCATTTCTGTCAAGGGGAATCTACACATTGCAACCTTAACCTGCCACAGAGCCAACTTTCATGGACATCCATAATCCCCCTTGAGCACAATCCAAGTTGCACAACCCCATTGTTCTCTTTAACCAACCTGCAGTGGAACCTGCAGATTTTCACTGAAAAAAAACAAAAGCTGGGGCTTTGTTTCATGGAGAGAAAATACCCAGAACCAGCTGAGTGCTATTTAGTCCCCATCCTCATGTCCAAACTCCTTTCAACCAATCCAAAAAATAATAATAATTAACCAATTAATTGAAATTCTTCTGAATCAATGGCAGCTTTGTTGCCAAACTAGACTGATGCAAACTCAAACAGATAAAATTCTGAAATTGGATAGTGTGTGTTCAATACATATTCAAAGAAAAGAGAGTAAGGACATTATAAAGGACCTGAACACCTAATTCTGCCTCCAATAAATGTCCAACTTTGTTCCTTTTTTAAGATTTTTTTATAGAAGTATAGTTGATTTACAATGTTAGTTTCAGGTGTACACAAAGTGATACAGTTATATGTATACATACACATGTGTATACATGTATTTTCAGATTCTTTTCCATTATAGCTTACTACAACCCACTTCGTTTCTTGATACCAACGATTCAGTCTCTTGAATGCTCCATTGTGTTGACAGCAAGGAAGTTCTTTAATTTATTTACTTTTTAATGGAGGTGCTGGAGTTTGAACCCAGGACCTCACGCCTGCGAACCATGCACTCTACCACAGTAAGAAGGTTCTATTCGCCTCCCTACCAAGTGCCCCTTCATAAGTGAAGCCAGATTTAAGGTATGCGCATATGTACCCTCTTTCTCACATATAATCATTTGAGGAGGATTGGAAACCCTCACAATAGTGGATCATCATGCTCCAACAATAATCATGCTGATGTTCTGGAAAAATAAAATTAATTAATTGACTGACTGGTTAAAATACAAGCGGCAGCATGGCACCCACTTGTGACTGCCTCTTCATTCCTCCCTCCTTATGAACGATGCCCTCCCTGATTTTGACCAGGTCACCCGCACTCAAGAGAAGGTGACCCTCTCCCCCCACTCAGGGTGAAGTCCTGCACAGATAGTAATGGGCTGAACTAATCTTTTCCTCTTGGGCAGTGACTGGTCCGGGAGCGGGCTTGGGCTTCAGTTCTGACAAACTGACATGAGGGAACCAGGCCGGGACCTTCGAGAGAAGGATTCCTGACTCTTGAAAAGAGATCTGGTGGCAAGTCCACCAGCAGTGAAAACGCTGCACAAAGTTGGATCTGCACGTGACCCCTGAGCACCAGCAGCCATCTTGTGCAAGAGGCAAAACTCTTGATCCTTGTTGAGCTGCCGACTTAACCAGCCCTGAAGCAGCCCAACCTTGGACTTTTGTTTTAGAAAAGATAACTATTTCA